GATGCATGCTCTTGCGCATTGGCCAGGTGGCCGGCTACAATATTAATGAAATCATCATTCCCACCACACATCAATCCTTGGGTGTGAATACAACCATGGGCCAATGCAGCCCCCATAGGATACAAAGGAGACAGGACCGATCAAGCCACATTTGATTAGTTCTGGCAGCATGCAAAAACAACCCACAGGATACAGTGCATAGTGTTCTTGTTCTGAATTCGACAGAATATTTTTCTGACAAGGGATTGATTATTTAGGTCCTGAGAGTGTCTCTATTTGTCATGACTGCCTTCAGGCAAATTGGTTATTGCCCCAAAGCTAGATTTCATACCCCATGACATGGGCATGGTTGCCAACGACATCACCCTGGCCTTTGCCATAAAGGGTATGCTTGGTCACCTGATATTATGGAGTTATGACTAGCAGAAGGGAAGGTGAAAACTAAACAAACATTCATAAACGACATGACAACAGGTCCCAGTTCCTTACAAACCCAATAAGAACCCATTTATTTTTAAAATAGAATTCAAAAGCTTTTTTCTACAAAAAGACACCTTTAAAAGCTGGGAAAATTCCAGTACCGGTAGATGCAGATTGCCTAAAGCTGAAATGATTTTACAATTCATCTTTCTTTTGTTCTGCTTTTTCTTCTTCCTCTTCCTCATCAAGATCTTCGTCCTTTTAAAAAATAGAATGGAATGACAGTTTAAAATAATTGTGGAGATCACGCTACTTTAAATAAATATGAAGGCTTCTTCTAAAAAGAACCCTAAAAGGCAACCTTTGACCCACAGTTCCAGCTATATAATTGCATAAAAACAAAAAGTAGTCAGAAACATAATTCCAAAATCATGTGTTTTAGAGGTGTGGGCCCTTATTACGTCCTTTTGGAGAAAATAAAATTGTGAAATTAGTTGCATCGTTATTGATTTCAACAACACTTTTACAAAGAAGAAATCGAAATGGTCACAAAAACACACACATTTTATTACAATATTAATTATGTACCACCAGAATTTACGAGGATAAAATTATTAGAGTCTGTTGGAACACAGTCAAAGTCAAAATCTTAATCATTATCTCCATTGATAAATGTGTTTGATTGTACGCAAACTCACAATGTAAAGCACTATCCACCATGATGATTTCTTGCACGATTTGACATGCAACAACATCCTTTGACCTGATAGGTCAAGTCTGTTATAAACCAATCAGAATGCTGTATTGACGCATTTCTCCAAGTATTCCCAAAAGCATTCTTGGTAATGCAATGCGGAAGTGAATTATCAATGAATTATCTCTTGGAATTGATTTCTACGAAAAAGATTTTTTTTTTAAAAACTGGTAATTAGCAATTTTTGAAAGGTAAACTAAATATGGAGTGAAGAATTTACCGCCTTTCACATTTGTTAACTGGTCATAGTCAGAGCATAGTTTATATACGGTTACCGAGGTCTATGCATTAACAACATATTCACAGTGGCCGATATCCATGTTGTATTACGGTATATAAATAAGATTACCAATATTCAGGAAAAGTCAGACAATGATTAAAAACCGGGGTCTATAATTAGACAGTCAAATTTGAGGCATTTTGGTGGGGGATGGGCGCTCAGCTGAATGTGAACTCGAAAAAAGAAATGTCCCAAAAGTGGGGGATGGGCGCTTAGCCCGTCACGTACAGTAATTATATATATTTTTTTTTTAAATGCATTACATACAACAGTAATATGATTATATATGACTCATTGATTGTATTCCAAGAATGAGTTTATTTGTTAATTCTCTGCCGACTAACCGCTTGTGTTTTGAGATCAAAGGCATTAAATTATTGTCGATAGAACAGACCCAATGAGCAGTAGCCACGATTATATTTCCTGAATTTTACTAAATTTGGCCAAACATTGCGCCAATGCCCTCATATCCCAGACTCATAAGAACATTATAATATCACCATAGTAACATAACAATTCCACTTACTTCATCAGATGGGCCAGCGCCTTCTTTTCCACCACTTTCCAAGAATTTAGTGAGTCCTTCTATTGTACGATTCCCATTGTAATCAATGATCTGTAAGGAAGACAGTAATGAAATGAATTTAATGATGGAAAACCATCGCACCAGTCAGCCATATTTGTTTGAATCACATGCACCATCAATCATAACACTACTTCTATGGAGCTCATTCGTCAGGGACTATTATGTTGTTTGTTCAGACTCTCCTTTAATCTAATTATGCCTGCCAGGTTAATTTTCAGACACAAATTAATAGTCTCAGTCTGTTTTCATACAGTGTCAAAACAGGCATGTATATTTTTGTGGAAGACAACAAAAATTTACTTTTGCGACAAAAAACAAAAATATACTTATAATGCTTTTGCATATTTTTTTGCAGTGATAACCTTGTTTCCATGGTTACCAACAATGGTTTTTTTCTTTGTTAATCCCCATGAGCAATGTACATATTTTTTTTTTTTCAGTTTGCAGATAAATAAAGAAAATTATTTTTGCAAGATAAAAAAATGTTATTCCTAAGGGCTATATATTATATTAACAAAACTAAACTTACATCGCTACTGTCTTTTGGGAAGAGTTTAAGGGTTGGGAACCTTATTACTTTGACAAATTCAACTTCATTTGCGGTGGCATCCATTTTAGCAATGACGATATCTTCCCTGCCTTTGAAATTTTCAGCTAATTCATCGTAAATTGGGGCTAGTTTTTTGCAGTGTTCGCACCAAGGAGCATCTGAAATGAAGACAACAAGGCAATGATCGAGTGGTGAATTACAAACAAAAAAACAAATACATAAAGTAGATAACACATGTCAAAAACAAAGCACTGAACACCCTATTATGCACAAATACAATAGAAATAATAACGTTTCCGTGCAGTTCCACATGCATCATTCAAACAACATTCTGACCAATAGCGTTACAGCAGCTTATCACGAAACTCCAACAAGCAACATGTTGCAATTCGATATTAAATATTCAGTAAATATATACTTATAATATACTTTCGATATTTAATGAATATTTATAAATATACTAGGAGAAACAGCTGGTCCCCATTTTATATTATTTGACAAGTTAAAAATATTGTGCGAAAACATACATATTGAAAATAAAGTGGTAATCAACCTATATGCCTGAATAAAATCCCATTGGGCAAACGTATTGCAAAGTATTGACAAAAACAAGAAGTAAAGCGAACATGTCAAAAATAAAGCAGTAAACGACTGATTATGTATGAATACAATATATGCAGTAGAGTGGATGTATCGACAAATAAAGTGGTAAGTGACCTATTTACGCATGAATACAATATATATCAGAGTATTGAAAATAAAATAGTGCAAGAACAGAATCACAGACTGCAGATTCAGTGGAATCTTTTTTTTACCAGCACAGATAGTCTATATCTCTAATAATGTTTCAGATATTCATACATTTTTAATGAAGTCACATGACTATGTATATGCATTAGATACAGTGTGCAATTTCCTCAATAAAGCACTGGTTGAATGTCTGTCAGTGACAGTGCTCAAGATATAATATTTATGCATTTTTAATGAGATTACATGACCATATATGGTTATTAAATATTTTGATCAGTTCTAGTGTGCACTGTCATAATAAAACATTATGTTCAATTGAACACGAAGCAATGCAACAGCTGTGGATGAATCAACCCCTGACACTGCACATCTAAAACGTTTTGTGTGCGCAAGACAATGTAACGTACCATTCTTAGAAGTCTTATTACTTATTCTTACTTATTGACAAATTGATTGACATATTTTTATCTGTCGCCGTCAACTTGTCTTGAGTGATTTAATGTACTGTGGAATACTTTATTTTTGCTTGGAATTAATTTTCGCTATTTTCGCTGAAGGAATGAAAATAAAATCCAGCGAATATACCTTTTTTCCTATATTTTACATTCAACTCATCAAAAAACAGTGAAAATAAATTCAATACAAAACACCCAAAAAGTGTTTTCAACGAAAATTAATTCCAGCTAAAATAAAGTATTTTACAGTATTCACGTATTTGCATCATGTTAAAGAAGTAATTCTTCAGTAGAGGACGCGAAACATCTAAGATTAGGAAACGCATTTACTTACAAAATTCAACAAGTACATGTTTCGTTTTGTCTAGCGCCACTTCTTCAAAGTTCTTTCCAACAAGAACTTTGACGGCTTCTTCATTCGAGTCTTCGGGGATATCCGCTGACATTAGGTAAGGCTGTAAATTGGAAAACTAGATATTTAGTAACATTCTTATCACTGCATAAGGTACCTCTATAATGAGATACAGATCAGAGCTAGATCAGAGATTATAGGGCAGGGCTGTGATGATTCTGGAGATATGATCTTACATAAACATACGCTAAACATTGTATGCACATTCTGTTTTATTTATTTATAGAGTCCAGTTAGCAGTGAAATAAGGGAAAATAAAACCCAACAATCTAGTCATTGACAATTGACATAGTCCCTGTTTATGCTATTGTACCTGAGTACATGTGAAGTTTTAAACTTCATTTGTCCGAGCAGGTATGAGATATGGCTCTGTGGAACTGCATTCGATTAACCAAGATGACCATCAGTCAGCCACTATGGATTTCGTGAGAAAATGCATGTGCGTTTGTCAGATATGTACCGGTATATATGTGAACTGGTCCAGGCATGTTGGAAATTCAATGTGGTGATGCAAGTTTAATGTATGTACCAAATTTGAGCAAATTTAGGCCATGCATGACTGAGATTTAGTTCCAAAATGGTGAACATGTGATTTTGATACACACTTGCCATTTGATCATCTTGAACAAGATCACAAAACAAATGCATGTGTACATGTCCGACTTGATCTGAGTCTAGGCAAGTTGAATATATAGATTCAGAACTGCATTCTTTAAAACAAAATGAATGCAAGTATGAGATTTTTAACCCAATCCGAAAAATAATTTGTTAAATGTATGTACATTTTCTGGAAAAAATCTACTTAAGATCCAGTTCCAGAATGGCTAATATGTGTGATTTGATATATTTTTTGCCTCAAGATGGCTGCTATCCAGCCATCTTGAATCAAATCATAAACAAATACATGTACAGATGTATGTGTAATGTTTGAACTTGATAGGTCCAGGCATGTCAGATACATTGAGTCATAACTCCATTTTTTAAAACTCTAGTCACTCTAGTCGGCCATTTGATTCAAAAAATAAAATGAAAGAAGGTCGTATATTGTGTTCAATGTACCAAGTTTAAAGCAAATTAATCTAAACATGAATGAGATTCAGATCCGAAAGGTGAATATTTGTATGCATATTTAAATGACTGCCATACAAATTAAATGCATGTGCATATGATTGATAAGATGGTTGAAGATTTGAGATTGATTGGTCCAAGCATCTGTGAAATAATTCTAGATAGGCACACGCATAGATATACACACAAAAGTCAGTCCGTAAGTCCTCACACAAAACTAATTGACATTTTTATAATTTCTTATACAATCAGAGAAATTTATATTTTGATATTAAAATATTTCTAGAAAAATACAGAAATATATACATACATAAAAAAATGACTAAACAAAATGTGTTTATCCACGAAACATAATATATTTTTAAAATATATTTAAAAATAAAGCTGAACTCCAATGTTTTTTTAAGTTTGAGCATTGTATTGATTATAAATTGCTGAATATTTAATGAATTTTACAGAAAAACAAATGCACACACCTTCATTTTGCCGTCGAGCACAGCATTAACAAAGATCTTCATTGTTTCAGCTTTGATTTCATCACTTTCAGGTTTGAATTTAGCCGCATCAGCTTCCAGATCGATGAACAGCACAGCTGGGATATTTTTCAGTCCAAAGAAGTTCAATATAAATGCACCAGCATCAGTGTTAACATCAATTAAGACAAACTGAACCTGAAAGGAACAAGTCATTAGTCATTAGTCATTAGTCATTAAGTCAATGACAAAACCCCCACATAAATTGTTCAAAAATAAAAATAAAATATTTTGAACCAAAAAAACACTCTTCGATTGTGAAATTATGTCTATCAATATATGAAATGTATTGTGTAATACGGTACCTATATGTAAAGTTTGAATAAAATTGGTCAATACAAACAACAACAATTTTTTCCTCTTATTTTTGGATTAATTTGATTAACAAGACACTTGTATGAACCTGCAAACATATTATTTTTTTTTTTTACCAAAAATCACGCTTTTGACCCTAATACTATACTTAACAGGCACAGATCAAAAAACAAAATTGATGTGCATCAGTATGCTTTAGTGATACACCTCTGTAGTGAATTTCATGAAAACCGTTAAAAGCATTTCAAAGTTATGAGACAGCACACCTTTTTAGTCTTCTTGACCAAAAATTACACTTCTTGACCCAAGACCATAATTAACATGCACAGCTCCAAGAACAAAAAAAATCATGTGTAATTGTACTTTTTTTAGTGTTACACCTTTGTAGCAAATTTCATGAGAATTGAAAAAAGCATTACTGGTAACTGACATTTGCTTTTATATCTTCACTTGCACT